ACTGGCTATTGGAAAATATCTTTCCTTATTCCAAGAAAATGACGCGTCAAATTCTCTACAATTTGACGAGACCTCTTATTAGCGCAAAAAGTTTTTATATCAAAAAGTATTTACGTCTTTTAATTATTAGACCTTATTAACCTCATTACTAAGAACGTTTAATGGCGAATGTCATATAGACAACAAAATACATTTTCACGGAATTTTATAAATCCTAATTTATCAAGTCAATCACATTTTGCCCCTAGAGGCCAGGCTTTGATTCCGTTTGTAGTCGAACAATCGGTAATAATTTCTTGAGCACTTCAATAAACATTTTATCAAACGTTTTTAATTGTATTTTTCTAGTCTAGAGGAGAACGTTCTTATGACATATTCTCCAGGCTTTTAAAAGAAAGAATTGTGTGTTTAAATGGTCACGTAAGTATCTCGATCAAAATCAAAATCAAATCATCTATGTTAACCTTATTTACATGCAACAGAATAATTCTACACACAAGATTTAATAAAATTCTTTTATATAAAAAGATAGAAGACAGTGTTGCGGCCGTAGTGGTTGCTCAATTGTTATTTCTCGAAGCCGAAAATCCAGAAAAACCCATCAGTTTATATATTAACAGTCCTGGTGGCAGTGTCACTGCTGGAATGGCTATTTATGATACTGTAAGTCTTATTCTTTATAACTTTTCGGGAATGAAACATGTTCACATTCATTGATCTTGTGTCTTTTTAGATTCAGGTAGGATGATATTATTATTGCAAGATAATATTCTTGTTTAATTCTCAAGAAAAGATGGAAATTTTTACCATCGATTATTCAGTATATCCAATCACCAGTATCAACACTTTGTAACGGTCAAGCGTGTTCAATGGGCTCGCTACTTTTGGCATCTGGTGAATAACAATGACAGAAATCATGATACCTTGGTTGGATTTTATGTAATTTAACTTAACACTTTCACAGGCGAACCGGGAAAACGCTATGCGTTACCGAATTCGAGTATAATGATTCATCAACCAATCGGTGGTATTTCAGGTCAAGCAAGTGATATTGCTATTCACGCGAAAGAAATACTGAGGGTGAGAGAGCGATTAAATAAAATATATCAGAAGCACACTAATAAGCATACTTTGGACGAAATCGGTAGGTTGATTAATTATCGAATTTACATTTAGCTCTTATAATTGTTTTAACGTTTGGTTTATCGATACTATTAGAAAAAGCAGTGGAGAGGGATCACTACATGACTGCAGAGGAAGCATTAGAGTTTGGATTGATAGATAGAGTTTTAGAAAAAAGGGAGGTTAAGCCAGCTGAACCAACCATTTAAACTGCTATGCATGTTTCATAAAAAAATAGTTTCAGGTGGATAGAATTATTGAAAGATATTAAAGTAAAAAAGTAGTATAATAAGTTATCAACACTAACAGATTAAAGTAATTATAATAAACCAATAAAATTTTATTATCAAAGGTTTCAAGATATAGTATTATCGTTTGATATTTTAAAAATAATATAAAGGTATTTTAGTAGAAAATACAGTGATGTAATAAATTTTTTAGAATTTTATTAATATTTAAAAATTTTTTAGAATTCATTAATAATATGTTATAAATCAAAAATAATAAATTATTTAGTATAAAATATTAACCTATAAAAAACATCACATGATTTATCAACTTGGGTAATTGATTTTATCATGATTAGATAATATTGCTTTATCAGCAAGCAAAAAATAAGTAAAAAAAGAATTCACTTGCTTTGCGTATATATGTATCTGAAAACTTTATATATACAGCATGAATCCAGTGATTGGTGGTTTATATGTGGATGGATAAATGAAGAAAGATGAAATCATAATCACAGAACCAAATGGGACTAACAAATATGATGATTATGATTCTACAATTTACAAAAAAAAAAAGGTATTATATAATTCAGAATTCTGTCAGAAATCGTCAATACGTTCTGATTATGAACAACAAGCACTTTTTTTTTTTTTCATTCGAATTTGCAACGACAATAACGAGGCGGCTGTCCAGGCTATTAATTGTTTGTTTATTAAATGGAAAATCATAGAAGAGTAGGTTATTGTTTCTATTATATACGATTAGGCCATTGTGTCATTGTGTGTTGAGCGGCATCCAAATCTCCGGCTTGACGCCCATTTATTTTACTAGTCTTATGACCAAACACCCGACATCTCGAGGTGTTGTACAAAATTTGGAACAGGTTTAGAGTCTAATTAGTCAAGTTTTATTTCTCCATTTTTAGTCTTTCATAATTATTATGGAAAATTAGTTGTCCCGTATCAAACTTCGAGTGAGAAGTTCGTCAATCCTAAAAACTATATATAAAGATCAATGTTTTTTGATGCACTCGTATTTTTAAAAATATTTGATAGGTAAGCATACCCTCTCTAAATTTACTTGCATGAATATTTTCAGGTGCATCATTATTTTTGTGCTGACATTTTCATAGTTTCACGCAGAAAATTGAGTGTCAACTATAAGAGGAAAATTCATCACTCACAAAATTTTTTTAATTTCCGTACAACTTGTAAGTCTTCCTCTTGTATCATCCAATTTGCAATAAAACACCACACTTGTGTACGTTTCATTTAAATGGTACTTAGTATTTGTGGAATTATCCAAATTAAGACATCTGTACAGACTCCTAGTCTCCTTACAGTTTTACTGGTTTAACATTTTACACTTAACTTTTTTCGTTCACTTTCTCGCTTTCCCTCACTTGTTTATTAACTCGTGCGGCTTAAATTCTTCTCTTTTTTCTTTCTTTCTTTCTTTCTTTCAGCTAAGTTAGATGCAATTGATAGATATTTGTTTAAGTAAGAACAATGATAGAAACACAAAATGAAACCACCACAGACGAAAACACAAACTCGACAACGACCTATTCGATAAACCAAAACTTTCTTCAAAGATATATCACCAAACACCTTCACATCTCACCTCATATAGTCGCCGAGATATCTCGCACGTTTATAGCCGGAGTATGCTTCTTAGTTATCGGTTTCATTTGTACTTTTGCTATACAGTGGTCAGATCAACGGTGGAAAGATTCAGCAGATTTGATGGCTCTGGTGGATCTCGGTTTTAAAGCAATACCGGAGACAAATTATATCTTTCTTGCTGACCTGTCCATGCTTACACTACTTATCGGCTCTTTGGCTTTAAATCTTTTCCTCGCCGAATCAAATATAGCAAGACTTATTATCGTTCGTCGTATATTCTGGATGCTTGCCTTTCTGTTGCTCTTCCGTACGATCACTTTGAGCGTCACCACTTTGCCCAGCCCAAAGGCATGTACACCGTTAGAATCTGGGAATTTCGGAAAAATGCTCAAAACTGGTCTTGATCTTATATTGGGCTCAGTCAAAGCTTGCACGGACAACATTTTCTCGGGTCACAGTGTCTTTATAACCACTAGGTAACTATTGTTTAGTTAATGTGGGCAGGTGGCGTCGCAAAAATACACATATTAATAATAAATATGTACGTAGTGTTAGAGAGGTTCATGCAATTCGGTTTGATTTATCGCTTTGATCGTTATTTACAATAACCAAATTTCTTACAAAATTTTCAGCGTCATCCTTCTGCGCGTATATTGTCGTTATAAATTTATAGTGTACTACTCCTACATACACGCACTCGTTGCACTAAGCTTACTCATTGCCACCCGAATCCATTACACGGTTGATGTGTTGCTAGCAATTTTCATTACATATGCGGCGCATTCAATCTACTTTTTCATTGTGGATCTGTGCATCGAAAAACATTTCTTAAATATAAAAAGAGCGGAAGATCGATTGGGAGATAAAGACCTATATCAGCGAATAGCATACATGCCAAACATGTTTAACACAAGTTTGGTTGGCGCAGTGCGTTGGATGGATGGATTGGACATTCGATTTACAATTGAGGGGCAGGAAATCTTAGAGGCCACCAGGGAACGAGCAAGAATGCGACGTATTCAAAACGTAACAAGCTCATCTACTAGTAGCGATTCGACCCAAGTTGAAGTTGTGGTGTTAAATAATAATGAAAACGAAGGTGAGCCAAGCATGTCTGAAAGATCACGAGATTATTAGACCTTGTTAGGGAGGGAGAGAAAGTGCGATTAGATCTTTTTTTTATTTTCTTTCAAAGTGTATAAAAACGATCATATCTTTGGATGGGTTATTAAAAAAAAAAAAATCTTTAATTAGTATGGCGAGATCGTTAGGACAATAATTTAATTGTTGTATTTATTTCTCAAGGTTTGGCTGTTTTTTTTAAAAAATTAGAAAAAAAAAAAAATGTCTCCACCTTGCAACATGTAAACATACAAAAACCAAAAAATTTACTTTTTTACTATAATTTAATATTTAATACACAGGACTATATAAATCAACGGATTATCGCTATTTCTACTCCCAATACTATCCAATTGTTGTCCCGTCAAAACTTAATTCACTGTCCCACGGAAGTTTTGTATTTTTAATGTTATTTGCTCTCATTTTTTGTGGATTGTTAATAACGTCAATAATCCATAGAGAAACCACCAATGCTCCGTTTTACGATGCATAAGTTTTTACGGTAATTCGCCTAATCTCACCCGAGATTGCCTATCCTAATTATCCCAATCATCGTTTATAGAACCACTTTCCAATTCTATTTTAAGAGGCACATACGTAGAAATAGATAGATTACAATCATGATTACACATATTATACGTACAGTACATTACCTAATATAATAATGATGCGGTGGCTTGTTCGCAACATGATAATATATTACAAAGCCTTCCAATAGTTTAGGCTCGGAAAGTAATCGACTGCCAATCTGATAATGTATAATAATCTATTAAAACAAAATATCAGACTAACGAATGAATGAATAGCTAGTTAAGTAGCAATCTCCAACCACCAAAAATTGCCGCTTCATTTTTAATTATGCGTAAAGTGTACACACACTAGTCTTATCACTATTCAAGCACGCCAAGAGTTTATCGCTTTTACTAAATTCTATGTATAATTAATTAAATAAAAATATAAAATATAAAAATTATTAAGGATTTGTTTATTTTATTTTTTTTTTTGCAAGATCCTTCTTGGATGCAATCTTTATTACTTAAATTTTTACAAAAAATATTTTTTGTTACAAAATTTACTAAAGTAAGACACATCAAAATATATCATTATAGATATTGATCTGTTATTTTAAGATAGATATATTCTACAAAATTTATTAGAAAAAGTAAAAGAAATTATCTATCTATAGGGGGATAAATCTCTCCATTATAAAGAACATAAAAATTTAAATTTATTAAAGAAAGTATTACTATAATAATCCTTCCTTATTAGATATAACTGGTAAATCATTAATAATAACAATTTTTGTAAACATTGGTATTGGCTCTATTCTTAGCTTGTTATCATTCTAAATAAGTTACAAACTTAAACTACTCAACCCAATTAAGTATTGGCTGCTTTATGAGTAGAGAAACATGGGGTATAATTCCATTATTATAGTATTTGTTATAATGTTATTGGTATTATAAAAATAAATGTTAAATATGGATAATATAGTAATCAGATTTAAGATTATTTAATTAATAGTAATCTTTTAACTATAAAATAAATTGATATCAAGTTTGTATTTTAATATGAAATGAAGTTATATAGTATTTCCTGATTTGGATTTGTTTTGATAATATTATCAAAACCCATGCAGAATATTAATCTTGTGCTGTTTCAATTTAATAGGTTATTATATAATATAAAAAGTATTTTTCTAATCTTTTTACAAATAGTTACTTAGAATATAAAAATTTTATTAATTAGATTTTTAAGTTATAATACTTTAAATTTGTTGTACTCTTCAAAACTATATAGATATTTTAAGAATTCTTAAAAAAAATAATAAATACTATATAAATAATATAAATAGTATATTAAAAAAACAATAAATTTTTTTGGGGGGGATTATTCCAGTAAATAAATATCATCTCTTTATTTGATTTGTATATATCAAGGTATACATTGTGAAAGAAATAATATCTCTTGAGTATATTGCATACAACAAGTTAAATGCTAGCTTGCCTACTTGTACCATATTTAACTAATATCGTAAAAAATTTCAAAAGCAATATTAAAATGTCAAATATGGGAGTAGCGGCTATGCCTACCTACTCGAAAGGTTGTTTGGTGAAATCTTTTGATTTTTTGAATATAAGAAAAATGAAAATATATATAACAATGAAATAACTAGAGCTGAAACTAAATCAAATAAACAATAAGATTTTTAATAGTAAAGCTGGTGTATCCAGAGAAACCCCTTGCCTAATTGTAGAAACTGGAGTCTACTAAGTTTTTTTATTGTTTGTATATGCTTTAGTAACAAAGAAATTATAGTGTAGTTAATGTTGTTTGGAATTATTGTTGTTATTATTATTATTGTTGTTGTTGTTGTATTGAAAAACCAGTTTGAATAGGTTTAATTTTTGCTTTGTTATTTTGACAAAATCTGATTGGATTATTGGAGAGCGATGATCATCTGGAAGAAATAAACTAATTTGGATTTTTTAAGTAGAATTTTTTGAAAATTTTAAAATAGTGCAGCAAATATTGCTACTGTAGAGTTATGTATGAAGGTTGACTTAAAACAAACATTAGATCCTATAACTTTGTTTAAGTATGTTTTTTGGAAAGTATTTGTTTAGCAAATATGATGGTATTAATATAGATGGTTTTTATAATATAATAAAAGTAAGGACATGTGTAAGAGAACAAAAGAAAAGAGAACTACTATAGGTCTTTCCTCATAAAATTGAAGAATAAGCAAGACTCTTAAACTTAAATAGACTTCGACCAGAGATTTCATCCTACTGTACCAGTTGTCTTGAAGGTTCTTGAGTTTTTGAGCTGGAGCTTACTTGTGATAAAGAATGTAAAACATTTTTTCTTGCTTAAAATTATCATAAAAAGAAAATTTTTAACAAAATGAATGTAATCAGGAGAGAGTTTTTTTT